AAGTATTGACTTTTTATTTTCTTGCCTAAACATCAAATAAAAAATTTTTTCTACAACTGTCAAAAAAACCTGTCATTTTCTGACGGATTTCGAAACGCGAAGTACTAGATTTTTAATCGGTTAATTAATAAGTAAGGTTGCTCTTGACAACGTGCGCGAAATCGTCAACAGTGAAAAAAAGTATTTCGCGCACGTGACAAAGTTGAACTTAAACAGCAATTTTAATTAACAATCGGTTCAGTTGTAGAAAAAATATTGTATATAACGCTAGCGCGAAGTTATTTCGCGCATTTGACTGATATTTTAACTCGGCTTCGCCTCGTCAAAATACCTTCAGTCCCAATGCGCGAAATTGAACTTCGCGCTCTTGTTATATAAATAACTATTTTATTATACCTGAATCACAATCTCCGTTTTAAACACTCAAATGCGTGCGAAAAAAGGCCTTTAAAACACACGTGCTTTAAAGTTGCTAAGTAACGATACTTCAAGTATGACTTTTGAAACTGTCATCTGGGGTTGAAATAAAAAATCCTCTTAGGTCGCTTTCTGTAAATGCAGAACATTGCTTTGGCTTGTACCTACCTATCCTTTGGTTGAAGCTTCCACAAACGCGCTCAATTTAGGGTATGCTTCCAAATCTGTTCCACTTTTTAGTCGCAGCAATGTTTGAAGTTTTGAATGAATGCACCAAAAGATAGAAGATTTAAATTCCTTTGACATTTCCTTCATATTTATTCACTAAGACGATGATTTTTATAAGCAAACGTCAAGTGATATTTCCATGGCAATCGTGAAATTACGAACACCAAGCCCACTTAATTAGATATGTATTCGAGTATAACGTCAATATGATTTCATTGTATTTCCTATTTTTAAATTATACTGCAGGTATAATAAAAAATACTATAAGATACACGTGCATAATTGGTCTTTAAGCACTTGCAACGTTAAAGGCACTCCGCTTTGCGTCGTGCCCTTAAACTCGTTGCGCGTGCTTTAAAGACTTGATTATACACTTGTATCTTAATATACTAGTCCTTTAAAACAAAAGGCAATATCGTACGAGGGTGGGTCACAAATTTCAGCTGTACCATCCAGGAAATCCGTCCATTCTCCTAATTTTTTTGAGAATGCCTACATATTGTGATATTTTTCTGGTTATAGAAAATTATTTTCCAATATTATTCGTGATGCAACGTAAAGAAATGAGTTTGATGTTCGTAGGGCGAGGAACGTTTACGTCATTTTACGCAGTGTATTTTCAATGAGCTTTTTTGTTCTGCATGTGGCCCCGGAAGGTTTCAGCGTCTCAATGTCTATGGTATTGCTTAAATTACATCCTTTTTAGAAGCAATATAAGATTACATTTCTGAAAACGTATGAGATAAATGGGGAACGTGAAAATGTTAATCGGCAACATTTCAACGCATTAGTTCAGCCTTTTTTCGTCGATAGGACTCATTGGTGGGTCACAAATTTCAGCTGTACCATCCAGGACAATCATGTCCATTCTCCAAATTTTTTTGAGAATGCCTACATATTGTGATATTTTTCTGGTTATAGAAAATTATTTTCCAATATTATTCGTGATGCAACGTAAAGAAATGAGTTTGATGTTCGTAGGGCGAGGAACGTTTACGTCATTTTACGCAGTGTATTTTCAATGAGCTTTTTTGTTCTGCATGTGGCCCCGGAAGGTTTCAGCGTCTCAATGTCTATGGTATTGCTTAAATTACATCCTTTTTAGAAGCAATATAAGATTACATTTCTGAAAACGTATGAGATAAATGGGGAACGTGAAAATGTTAATCGGCAACATTTCAACGCATTAGTTCAGCCTTTTTTCGTCGATAGGACTCATTCCAATTGTTACACTAAAAAACATAGCGAACCACATGTGATTAAAAAAAAGTGTTTCTTATTTTCTGCATGATTTTGTGAAAATTGTTCCGGCCTGTTACAGACATAATTGTAGAAGTTATAATTTTACCTCTAACTTTGGGGTGTAGTTTCATTCCTTTAAGTCTCTGAATCTGAAATATCTGCCTTGACAGAAGTGTTTCTTATTTTTTTTTATGATTCTATAAAATTGTTTCCAACCTGATACTAACTTATTTGCTCTAGGAAACGAGGAGAGAGCTTTGTGTTCTTTCATTTTGTTTAATTTTTTGTCTTACTGCCGAAAACACACGTAAGTTTGTAGTATCCGGTTTGTAACCGTTCCTGTAGGAATATTTAAATTGTTTTTACAGGCCGCCCAAAGCTCTCTAGCCAGGAAGGAAGAGAGAGAATAAATCTTATTAAGTTTTAGGTCCGTTAATTACTGATTAATTCATTTTAGTTTTCTAATCGCATACAAAAATTCAGGATTGCCGATTATGCCGCTTGACTTTCCATTCCAAGAAACAAAAGGGCATAACTAGACTGCCGAATTTGGAGATTTCATTCCGACTATTCTGATAAGTACAATTGATCGTAATTACTTGAATGGGCTACAGATAACAACCGCCGATTAAGTCGAGATCCGTGAGGTGCGCTCTTAAAAAACTGATATTGGTCCTATATTTTTCGGATGTCGGCGATAGGCGTAATTAATACAAAAAACAGTGTTAATTTGTTTAAACGTATTGAAGTGTACGAGAGGCGAATTCCAGTTTGTCCTTACTCAAATGGACGTTTATATAAACATAATCATCTTTTTTACTTTTGGCGTTTAACCCAAAGTAAGTTTATCTTTTTACTTTTGCATCTTCACAAGCTACGTTTCTTAAATACCGAAATTTTGAGCTTTTGCACCGTACCGTATTTAAACAATTAGCTTTTGTTTTTGGTGTTTTAAACGTATTTCAACCTTTTACCTTTTGCATTTACATTTCTTTGCATCTGTACTGTTTCACCGCCCCGTATTCATTGAAATTGGCTTTTAGCGATTTTTTTACAGCTCCGGTAATTGCAAAGTAAGCTATTTGTTACTTTCCGTTTCACTAATTATAAGGGGGGAAAGCAATCTTGTAACCTGAGAAATACACCACTTCGAGGAGCGACTATTTGAATTCAAAGTTTAGCTTAACATATCTATAATATCCTTAAAGGAAACGATAAGGGACGGGAATTTCCTGAGATCAGTTTCGAACATTCAGCCGGCTACGGGCTACTCCGAATTAGGTCTTCCCGCAATTTTCCTAACTCGGAAGGGAAATACCGGAGTAGTATAGAACAAGTTGAGACCTTCTGCAGGGACACCTCTAAAAAGCATTATGCGGGTCACTCTGTAATTGAGCGGAAGCCTGTTGAGGGCCAGAACAAGAGGGAGTGGACTATAAATAAATTAATAAATAAATAATAAGGACTTGTAGTATGTTATATTATTGCATTTGGACTTATAAAGAGGAGTTGGTTGTATTTTCAGCTTTTGAAAGCTCTTATATTTCAATTCAGTAGGTAATAGGATTCCCTTGTTGGATTCCCATTTTGTCTAGTTTTAAGGCGTGCGTAAATATTTTGTGCGAAGAGCCTTTCAGGCAGGTATCATGTTAAAAGCATTATAGAAAAGCGGACCAATTTAGCATTGATACGTGATCATAGGAGTTTTGGTATTTGTATGGACCAGATCAATATTTTCAATCCAGGGAAAAAAAGAGAGTGGAAGTGGAGCGATTTTAATATCTCAATAAGTGATTTAACGTTGGTATTTATTTACACATAGTTGAACCGAAGCGGGGTCAAATTTTGCAATTTCAGATTTTGAGAGGAAGTAAAAGGTCAAGCTTCCGCAAGATAAGGGATATAAATTTTTTTATTACTGAGTTAGCCTTGGGTAAAATAAAAATTAATTACTACAGTGAAAGTTGAAATGGTAGTGTAAACATCATTAGTTATTGGGGGTGTATTTTTAATCCCTGTAAATGTACTAAGGATGCACAAGACAAACCCTTCGTAAGTGGAATGTAAACACTTACCTAGATCATATACCTATACATACACATAGCTTCCCATTTACTTTAAGTAGCATCAACATACCTAACAAAGGCAGCGATATATTTTGCACCGTAAGTCGAACACCGCACATGCGCAGTAGCAGCTGAATGTAAACAGGTTTTCAGCATTAGGTTCGTATTATCGAGTTATTCCTGCATTGATTACTGAGCAAGCTATCTATTCAAGATTAAACATTATTATAAACTCGTATTGGCATTCAATGACATTAATCAGCCAAAATATTGAGCAGCCAATTTTGTAAGCAGCCAGCCGACGAGCGAAAATCGTCGAATGATCACTAGTCGTGGATTAAAGAAGTAACTTTTCGAATTTATATTTTTGTAAGCATACGAAAATTTACACATGTACCGCTTCATAGTGAACTTGAACTAAAATATGTCTGGCGATAACGTTGCCTTACATTCTGCCCCAAATCTACCCGATCTCACACGAGATTGAACAGGTTTGTTCAATATTGTTGAAACAGTAATCAAAGGATTTGTTTCACATTTTTTTAAGGATCTTCGAAGATATCCAGAACGTTGTCAAAATTATACAAAAATGTCGCTGTCGTATTTGATGAACTTTTGGGAAAATTAAGAAATATAATCCAGGGAAACTTGTGAAAAACGCAAAAAAAAACATCTGGCTGCTTCGACTAGTGCGCGGGGATTGACGACAGCCGCATGCATTCACCTTGTCTTGCTCTGGCGGTGGGGTTGACTACCGCAGACAGGCTTCCTAGTGAATCACTGGCCTAATAAATTAATTACAACTAAACTAAAAAATGCGCGCCTCCTCAAGGTGGCTGGATAACCCTAACAAAATTAAAAAACTATCAGTTCCAATACCACCACTTATATGATCTAAGTGTAAAAATTATTAGTTATTGCGTGCGTATTAAATCCGTTGCGATATGTACCTTGACATGTCAGCAAACCCCTTCACCGCATTGAAACCCGCGAGGTTAGATTAATTAATTTTTAAAAAATAAATAAAATAATAAATTTTTAATTTGACATATTTTATTTTTATGTACAAAATTAAAAATAGTGCGTGTGTATGAGATCTGTAACGGCAGCGATGAGTACAAAACTAATGTGATATGACGGCTTATATAAATAAAAAATAAGATACAAACATAAAACATGAATCGAGGAGATTATTTCACAATTTTCAGAGAGATATTTAGTTCGGATAACGGCGTTTGTATGGTTGGAGTTGAAAGTCGGCTACTTCCCAAGCGTAATAGTTGCAGTCTAGGCCTCACCTGATCGCGGCCGCGCCTTGAAGGTCTTATGTTGAACATGCCGTATACTATTGGATTCATACACGAATTTGTACAAGCAAAAAGGAACAGACCCTTTTGTATCATAGGATTGACTTTCTCCGCCTTTTCCCGATCGCTCCAGTACCTGCAACAAATTTGAAATAAATAACTATTGACAATCTTTCTATTGTTATGTGCTATTTTATACCATTGCCTGCTGAGGGCCCAGAATAAGAGAAGGATAATAAATAAATAAATAAATGAATCTCTATTATCATTAAATAAAATTACGCTTTTGTGTAATTGTGCATCACCTAAAGTATAAAATCGGAGAAAATTAGTGACATCAAATAATAATACCCAGGATTAGAATTTAGAAAGAAGTTATACATTGTAATCGGCGGTCTCTTCAGAATTAAAAAAGTAACTTTTCGAATTTTGGTAAGCATAGGAACATTTACACATGGACCGCTTTATAGTGAACTTGAACAAAGATATGTCTGGCGATAACATCTACATCCAGAAACGAGTAGCGTCATGTAACATAGCGCGCTCACTATTCGCCATAAAGATGAAAATTCCCATGCGCGGCGATTTTCTAACGCGACGCACAAGGTTGAACACGTAAAAGACAATAATCTTTTTGGGGTTTAAAAATGCGTTTTATTTGCTTATTGTTAAAACTATTATTTCCATCTTCTTTTTCTTACCATAGGCCACTTTTTTTCAGACACGATCCATCATCTTTTGCGCGAGCCCTATTCCCACTTGTTTGGATGCCAAATTCTATGTCCGCTTGAAATTCCTAAGTTCAATTGCAATTCCACCCTTTTTCTCCAGTATGTACTTCACAATTGATCAGTATTCCTCAATTGCCCCTAGTTCCGGAGTATTGGCCGAATTCATCTCTTTGGGAACCACTGTGACGCCAATTTCATAGTACCACTGTTTGGTGAAATTAGAGTAGATTCCCGTTAAATTTCCCAAATTTGATTTCGGCATAAATAAGTTTTATGGCATGGTGACCTTTCAATGAGTTATGAACCATAAAATAGGGCGTACGTGATTGAAATGTGATCACTCTAAAATACGAAATAAAGTTCACCGAAAACATGAAATAAAAGGCAAGTCTGCACGCGAGAATTATGACTTTGTGTACTTCCAAAAATGGGCTGGAATGCAATTTTTAGGGGACAGTTTATTGGAAACGATAAATCGGGATAATTGGTAGAATACGAGCAATCAGGGAGGTAGGAAAATAAATTCAAGTTAGAATTCAGTGGCAAAGCTAAAAAGAAAAAGGAAGAAACGCAGTTTTAATACCGATAGTTTTCTCCTTAAATATTAATAATTACCTACTATAAAAGAGGTACTGCATTTCATTGTAATACGGAAGTTTGTACAAGAAGTAGAGTTCGATTTAGTAGCGTGTTGATTTTATTGGCTACGAGGTGATGCACAGTGAAGAGGTGACAAGTTAACCCCTTCAGTAATTGTTAGCTAAGAGGTCCATTTTCTTGAGCAAATACTTATGCCCGGTTTCACAAACGATGATTAAGGTTAATCAATGATTCAATGATATTAGAATGTTAGCCACCTTTGATTATACGTTCATTTGTTTCTTAATCACTGATTAGCCTTAATCAGTGTTTGTGAAATCGGGCATTAGTCAACGATATTAGTCAAAAAATATACTTTAACTTTACGTTAATAAATAAAACGTTTAGGGCTTGTCCACTCTGAAATGTAAACTTATGTTACACATACTTGTTATTAACTTACCACACGCTCATCACATAGTATGGAGTCCAGCAAATAAAAAATGTCATAACAATTATGATGGTCATTTTCAAAGTTCGTATTTTCGCTTTTCCTAAGAACCCCAGACTCGATCGCCGAATGAGATCCCCTGAAATAATTAAAAATGTTATATTAGAATTATCTGTACCATGTGTAACTTGCGGTTAAATTTTGTACAGTACAAATCTCTCAAGAATTGATAGTAATTTTGGATCAAACTAGACATTTTTACGCAAAGCTTTTGATCCTTTTGAGTTTGGTTTTGGGTTTTAGTTCTTTAATAGCTCGGTTCTTAGGACAAGCCTACCTTAATCCTTCTAAATTTTTCGAAAACTTTATTGTGTAAAAGAGCTAGTGGCAGTACATATTGAAATGTCAAACAATCAGTGTAATAATTAGTGATTCTCTTAAGATACACATCATTCTGGTTCCTGCACGATATTTTATAGTCATTATCCCGTTTTCCACCACTACACCTGTTTGAATTTGGGATTCAGTAATTCCCTCATACAGTTTCACCTGTGGTTCTAAATGATATCATTTCTGCGCCGTCGGTTTTGAACGACAATCTTTAAATTAACCTGACGTTCATTATTAGACCCGTCGCATTGTCACAATGTAACATGACAAGGTATCTTGATTCTACAAAAAAATATTTTCTTTCACATTTGAAATTGCGTTAATAAACTCAACTACGATTCGGGCAATAAACTGCAGTATATAATGTATTTTGTGCAGTGTTTCATAAAAATACAAAATCTTCCCAAGAATAATATTAGAGGCATTGACGAAATTGTATAAAGCTCGGTGTAAAGATTGGTGCAACTTCGTATACATAAGCTCCAAAAAATAAACGATGATAACCAGATCTCGAATTGTTACGACATTTTATTACGAATTCGTATATTTATGAGAGCTTTACGAGAACTGGCGAATGCTCGTAGTAGGTATACAAAGTAGGTACATTATTATGATCATAAACATAAGACTTGCAATCTAGAATGAAAGCGGTTGACTGCTTTATGGGAAAAGCAGAAATGATACGTATATATCATGTCAAATACTAACTGAGAGAAACTGTGTTACACAAAGACACGCTATACCTACATTACTTCTATTCAATGTCTCACATGCGGCAATTGGATAACAGATACAATCACTTGAGCGGGCAAATAAACTCTCAGGTTGGGCAAGTAACTTGACTGGAAGACCGTGATTGTAAGTAATTTGAACGCATGAAGGTACGGGTAGTGAGACGACGTATCACCCTCACAGGAGGGTGTGGGGGAGAGACTTTCAAAACTATACCTTGAAATCGCATTGTAAAGTATTTCTTATTCCCAAAAAAAACTTGTAAAAAAACGATTAATGTGTTTTCTCAATTCAAATTGTTTTTTTAGTAAACACCAGTTTGGTTTCAGGAGTGGTCTTTCAACTGAGGATTAATTTTCTTCATTATATTTATATGAAAGCTTAAATAACAGTAAAAAAAACACTGCTGCCCTATATATTGACATGACCAAGGCCTTTGATACGGTTGGCCACCGCATTCTTTTGGAAGAGTTGTGGCGAGCGGGTGTTAGAGAGTTGTTCCCTGAATGATTTTCTAGTTACCTCTCCCAAAGAAAGCAGTGTGTTAGAATTGGAAATCTCAGCGAGGAAGGTTTATGGGAGCATGGGGTTCCTCAGGGCTCAGTCCTGGGACCGGTCTTATTCTTGATTTATATTAATGACCTTTGTGATGGGAATTTTTAAGCAATATCACTGCGTTCGTTGATGATTTGGCTCTTACGTATCCTGAATATTCACACGCATCCCTTCAAGCTAGTATGCAATGTGACTTAGAACTACTGCGCTACTGGTTCTATAAAAATTATATGGTTTTGAGTGAGAAAAATTTTTTCTCTTAAAGAATACATAATCTTCCAAAGTCCGTTTTACTTTCACGATTTAAACTGCACAAACAGATTAAATTGTTCTTGTTTGCAAATTGAAAATACCGAAAAAATTAAATACCTGCAGTTAATCATTATAATACTAAATTATCTTGGAAGGAGCATATCAGTAAATTAAAGCAAGAAATGTTTGGTGTTCTTCGTAAGTTTTATTTCCTAAGGAACGTTTATCCAGTAAATGTTCTAACAAATATTTATCATGCTCTTGTGAGTTCTAAGTTAGGTTTACGGGCTGTGCTGCTTTGGCGGTACGTATGCTTCCACTCTTTAGCCTCTAATGGTTTTGCAGAAAGCCGTAATAAGGGTAATTACTAGAAATAGTAAAATGACACACTCATGGCCAATTTTTCAAAAGTTAAAAATTCTACGTTTACGACATATGTACGTTTTCAAGGTACTTATTGAGACTTTTTTATATTAGAAGCAGTAATAACTTTTGCAATTTTGATAAACGGCATAATCTAAGACATACTTTATCAGCTACAATTCCTCGTTCAAAATTAATTCTGCATCAACAATTTTATTCCTGTAATGCACCACGACTGTACAATCCCGTTTCTACTAAAATTGACAACAAAAGTAATCTCAATGTATTTTTATTGCAACTTAAAAAAACTATTGTTGGCTACATACTGAAAACATTGAGGAAGATTTCTTTAGTTTTGCGGCTTAGATTTTATGTGGTTTCGTAAATAGTTCTCATGATTTTTATGTTTTATATATGCTTTTCTTTTTGGACTCTCTGAAATTATTTTTAAATTGTTTTATGATCATAGCTTACAAGTTATTTTATTCTCAGCTCAACTCAAATTTTAAAGACTGCTAGTAAATGTAATCCGTAATCTTTGCAGCTTTATTCATTAGTATTATATTGTTTGTTTTTTTTAATTATAAATTACTGGCTCTAATTCTCTTTTCGCGAGTATATAATATGCAATACACGAGGGAGGTCTCACCACGCACGTTGTCTATGGGACCCCTAATATTTCTCAATGTGATTTATTTACCAAGTTTAATTTTTTTTAAATCATATTATATTGAGGAATAAACATATATTATTATTATTATTTTGTAAAACAAATCACAAAGTAAATAATTAAGTTTTTATACTGGTAGCGCTATCTAACGGTAAAATTATAGCACCTCCGAAAACCATATCGAAATTATTTTCTTAAATTATTGATCTCATACGTAATCTAACTCAAAATAGACTAGAGCCTGCACATCTACACTATAGCAGAACGCTTTTAGTGAAAATTTGAAGTCTCTAGCTATTGTAGTTGCTGAGATCTCACCCGGACAGCTGGCCAGCCGGTCATAACGAATATAATAGCGTATTTTTTTCAAAAATGCACTAAAAATCAAGATTAATTTCCAAATAAAATCCTAAGTCGATTTTGTAATTTTTTTCTTTATCGAGTTACATCAAAATCCAATATGGCGTCCATAAGAAATAAGAAAGTTGATGCGATTTACTCGACAAATAAAGGTCCGCAATTTTCAAATTCGCTGGAATTACCCGTAATTTACCACCACATAATCTGCAATTAACAGTTGGATAGGTAAAATAAAAACGGTACGAATATCTAAATCAAAGGCTCCGTGGTTAACTGACAACATCAAATTGATGATTGAAATAAGGAATGCTGCTTATAGGAAATTTCGGAAAACTAGAAAAGGGTGCCATTGGGAATTTTACAAAACAATGCGAAATTTCACAAGTGGGGCGGTAAAAAGAGAAAAAAAAAGCTTATTTGGAATTTAAACTGAGACAAAATAGCAAAGTGTGGGATCATTTATCTTCTCTGAATATTTATAGTAAATCCAAACAAGTTGAAATTCCAGTGCACTTGTCCAATGTTGACCTTATTAACGCCGCATTTGCTAGAAACAATATTACAACAGCTTCTACTGACTATTTTAAGCAATTGGAACAGTTTTACAATACAATTCCCAGAACAATACCCACCAATCTGTTTCAATTTAAGGAAGTGGATGAAGTTGCAATACAACAACTGCTACTAAAAATTACAACTAAAGCGGTTGGATCTGATTGCATTAGTTCTAAAATGCTTATCTTATGTTGTCCTTTGCTTATACCTCATATAACATTCCTTATTAATTTTTGTTTGAAGTCCAATACCTTTCCTGACCAATGGAAGATAGCGAACATCACTCCGCTACCTAAAATTAAACAACCGGAAACATTTAATGATTTGCGTCCTATAAGTGTTTTGCCGGTGTTGTCGAAGGTCTTGGAAAAGGTTATGGTCGAGCAAATGAATGTCTTTATATCAGAGCAGAGTATCTTACCAGTGACACAGTCTGGGTTTAGACGTGGGTACAGCTGTACCACATCACTTCTAAATATTACAAACAGCTTGTTGACCTTTACTGATCAAGGAAAGTTATCAGCTCTGATTTTACTGGACTATTCCAAGGCCTTCGATGCAATTAATCACAGAACGCTTATTGACATCCTACATCATATTGGATTTGGTGACGACGCTTGCGTCCTCTTGAAGAGTTATATCACGAACAGGAGGCAGCAAGTTGTTCTTAAGCAACGAACGTCACAGCGTGAAGTACTTGCAGCAGGTGTGCCTCAAGGATCTGTATTGGGCTCGATATTATTCTCGATATATACGTGTAAATTCCATTACTCACTTAAACACGTGGCGTTTCACCAATATTTAGATGACACCCAATTGTTATACCTATCTCTTCCTTGCGTCTGATATAGAACATGCAATTAATAATATAAACGCTGATATAGCAAGGCTTTCCGAATTATCCGATTTGCATGGATTAGCAATCAATCCTGCCAAATGTTCTGCTATGTTATTTGGACCAGCCAAAGAAAAGGACGCAAGAAAGGGATGGTTGACAATAAAAGTAAAAGATATGGTGTTACCCATCAACGACTGCGTGAAAAATTTAGGATTACATATTGACAGTGATACGCGGTTTAGTAAACATGTTTCGGAGTCATGTAAGAAAGCCTATGTTAATCTAAAAATGATTTTTTCTACTCCTATGTCGTAAACATACCCAAAATGTCACCCTGTACTGCACGTCTAAATCGTTCATTATATCATACGGTTGCATAATGAAAATTAGAACTGTTACTTAATATATATATATTACGTAACAG